GTCCCTGTCTATCATATAATTACGTGTGTGCTACTAAAAAGTAACGAAAATTAATTAGCATTCCATCAACATCTCATGGATAAGATTATCCTCGTCCGAACATTTGAGGTTATCTCCTTAATAAAAAGGCTTAAAGGCCTACAAAAACTTTCAATATATCGAAGCTCAGCATTTAAGATTGCTCTCCAGTATGTAACTTGTGAATGAACGTATTTTTGGATTACTGGCCTTTAGTATGCGACAGTCAACCCAGTGTGGTTTTACTTTTTCGTAATCAACTCTTCTATGTAGCCCTCCTCTCAGGCGCGGTTAAAATGTTTTCTTCATTTCTGTCACGTTCCTGCGCCTTCACCCGTCATCCAGTCAACCTCGAGCCTCAGGATCCCTCCCAAACGATATTTTATGAAGTTTAGAGCCTTTTTCAAAAAAATGTTTTTTTGACCTTTGACCTTTGACCCTGACACAGACAGACAGACAAACTTTTTTTTATATGACTCTCCTTTCAGTCGAGGGAATAATAAAGCACTTGCATATTCAAAAAAAGTTGATGATATCATTATTATTTCTGATCGACAATGGTCATGTTTTGAATTAAATGGACAAATAGATCAAGCATATGATATTATAAAAAAGAAAATAAATTATCAATTCAGTTCGAAAACTAATTGTTTCATTAATATTTCAAACTCATATATTGACATGGGTATTATTTGTCATCGATTCGGAAACTATAAATTAGCTTTAAAATGTTATTGATTAGCGTTCTACATTCTTCATATATATCAAAATAATAAAACACATGAAAACTATAGTCGTATTTATACTAATATTGGTAGAATTGATCTCGAATATGGTCAAGTAAATGATGCATTGAAGTTTTGTTCAAAAGCTCGAGATATTTATTTCTCGAATAAAGATCATACATTTTCTCCTATTATTATTTATATTAGTTTAGGTTTGATTCAATGTAAACTTGAAAATTATTATGAGTCTTTAGATTATTTTGGAAAAGCATGGGAATATCTGTGTAATGAAAATCTTCATTACCATCTTTTTTATCGAATTTTATATAATCATATTGGGTTTGTTTATTTTAAACTTGAACAAATACAAATACCTATTAAGTATTATTTAAAATCTTTATCATTATTCAATAATATTAAAAAACATTCAGATCTTGCACAAATTTATCAAAATATTACTTTGATTTATCAACAAGAGAAAAAAACATATCCAATTGCATTAAGATTTTATAAACGTGCTTTAGAAGTTGTTCCAAACAATAAACATCCGCATTATATTTTATATAAAAGTATGATTATTACATTAGAAAAAAAGCTGAAAAAAAATGAGTATTTAAACCAGTTTTCAATAATATAAAGGGATTAATAAAAACTTCTAAAACCTTAATTATTATGTATTTCATACAAAGTTTGTTCATTCGCAGATTCTCATTCGACAATTCCAAGCAGAAAGAACGGAATCTGCGAGAATCAGTTGAGTGTTTTTGGAATTCAAAAATTGTAGACAATATATTACAATTGGTGAAACGCAGTAAACTTTCTCGAATTTTCCAGAATTTCCTAAATAGTTTGTAAAGCTGTTTGAAATTCTCTCCATTGAATTCATCTCTTTGAATATTAAAGTTGCAAATACTGTCCATTTGAGGGTGAGGATGTGGATGTGGGCGTTAATGTTAGGTGAATACAGTATCTACATCTATACCCAATGAACTAAAGAAACATCTCAATATTAGTTTCTTTTACAAATGTATTAAATAGAATCGATGATTTACAAGAAAAAAATAATTTCAATCATATCTACTCAATAATTGCATGAAAAAACAGAGAAAAAAACTTTTGAACAGATATAGTAGACCAAAACGAAAAATATTCATTTTATTTCTCTTTGCGACTAACTTATTTACACATACTTCATTTTTACTGACTATGTACATACAAGAACAAAAAAAAAGAAAAGATGGCAATTATAACAAGTAACGCTCGTCGAGGCCAACTCGCTTAACCCTCGACTGATGCCTTTTTCATTCTACTCATTTCAGACAATGTATGAACCCATCCATCTCGCAGTCGGTCGTCGGCGTCCCTGCGGTCCGCCACTCCCGACTGCTCGATATTGTGCATAGCATTACAGCTTTCTCAAATGGCGTGCGACTTCCTCACNTCTGCGTCAGATAGAGAATAGTCTTTAACGATCTATGCCATATCTTGAACGAATGTTTCGTGCGCCTTTGAACACATCTTCTACGGCGCTCTTTTGACCCCGTCACGCATCCCCCCACCAACATTTACCCTCTACACCCCTTCCAAACGATGTTTTATGAAGTTTTAAGCATTTTCAAAAAAAATGTTTTTTTGACCTTTGACCTTTGACCCTGACACAGACAGACAGACAGACAGACAGACAAACTTTTTTTTTATATGACCCTCCTTTCAGTCGAGGGAATAATCAGACATGAAAGTTTCTTTTGTTCGTTGTCAATGTAATTTTTTTTCTGTTGATCTCTCTCGCACTTTGTATTTACATTTTTAAAAGCATCTAAAAAAGTATACAATCCTTTGCCATTAAATAATAACTGTGCCATTGACAAACTTTCGTTTAGCAGAATGATTTTGAATTAACAGAAGACACATGGATACTCTCGATAATGGCTTTTTATTTTTACAGTTAAACCAGGAGTGATAAATTTTGTCTTCAATACATTCTCACCAATGCTTAAAAGTGCACAAAATAATTTATAATGTAAAAATATCTTTCAATCATATGTTTCTTCTGGTTGATTGATCCAGTGTCTATAGAATGATTAATACACAATTATTGTGAACCTCACTGATGAATGACAAAGACAGAAAAGAAAGAAAAAAAAATAAAAATCGCTGGCAGTGTCATCTAAGCATTAACATACTGAAATAATAATGCAAACGTAAATAAGAGAAATTTCGAAAGAAAAAAAAACAATTAACATGCCTATGTGACTTCTTTGAATTTTGTTTGTTCGGATATGATTGATTTCTCTCTCTCTGTGTTACTTTTCAGCATAGTGTGTTCTTAATAATAACTAGGAAGCGAGATTCCTTTTATGTCAACAAAATAATACAATTATTGTGAATCGCAGAAAAAACAAATCATTACCTATAGAAACTGATATTGTAATTTCTGTTGTCATTCAAATTACCATATTCATCGTTAAATTACAACTCACATCAACATGGGGTGCAAACAGTCGAAGAAAATGATTTCTTCGCCCGACAGTCTAGACGTCTCTAACACCACTGTTACGATCACAACGCCATCAATACCTCAGCACATGACCCAAAATTATCTGTTGGTTTGGGTCGATGCAAGTATCAATCAAACCAACAAGGATTGTCAAGATAGGTTGACACAGCTGCGAGCTGTGGTCAATGACGTCATTATGTGCACTCGATCAGACCAATGTATCAAGTTTCTCAATAAACTCAAGGAAGAAAAAAGTTTCGCCATTATATCAGGATCACTTGGTCAATATTTAGTTCCTGAAATTCATGGCATGCGAACATTAGATACTATTTACATATTTTGTGACAACATATCTTCTCATCAACAATGGACTAAGGATTGGAACAAAATTAAGGGTGTTCATAATAATATTAAGGATATTTGTGATGCATTAAAGGCAAGTATCAAACAAGTCAATCAGGATTCAATTCATATAAGCTTTGTCACAACGAACGAAGCGATGTTCAGTGAAAACCTGAATCAACTGGACCCAAATTACATATACATACAAATATTCAAGTATATTCTCCTTAAAAGGGAACATTATCAAGAACAAGCCACTGAGATCTTAGCGGCGTATTGTTGCAATCTTTATTCAGGCAATATCGATGAATTAAATGTTATTGACGAATTTAAAAATGATTATGATCCGAAACATGCAATCTGGTGGTATACACGTGAGTCTTTTATCTATCAAATGCTCAATCGAGCCCTTCGAACACTGGATGCTGATATCATTGTTAGAATAGGATTTTTTATACATGATCTTTATCAACAAATTGATCAGTTATATATGCAACAACTTCCAAATTATCGTGGTAAGACTTTTATAGTTTATCGAGGACAAGGTTTGTTGAAAAGTGATTTCGACAAACTCAGAAAAACAGAAGGTGGTTTCATGTCTTTTAACAATTTTTTATCTACTAGTATGAAAAAAGATGTTTCCCTTGTTTTTGCCGAACGTGGATCAACAAAAGCGGATATGGTGGGAATACTTTTCATAATGACTATTGTTCCTCGTGGTTCATCAACACCATTTGCCTCTATTAAGGAGGTTAGTTATTACAAGATAGAAGAAGAAATTCTGTTTTCCATGCACACCGTATTTCGAATAGATGCAATTAAACAAATGGACAATAATGATCAACTTTATGAAGTTGAACTTCAACTGATTGCTGCTGCTGATGATAAACAATTTCGCCGACTTACTAAATTTATAAGCGATCAGATTGGAATTGGTACAGTTTGGCAACAATTGGGACAGTTATTAATCAAAACAAATCATTTCGATAAGGCTGAAGAACTATATAAAGCGGTACTTCAACAACCATTGTCCGAGATTTACGAAACAATTTATTATAACAATCTTGGATATGTCAAAGATCGGCAAGGTGACTATGAACAAGCTATTAAATATTACGAACAAGCATCGAAAACCAATGCTCTTCCTGGAAAATATCCTTCTTTAGCTACTACCTACAATAATACTGGTTCGATATATAATGCGATAGGACAATACACGGAAGCACTTTCATATTACGATAAAGCACTTGGAATCCAAGAAAAAACTCTTCCGGAAAATCATCCTTCGTTGGCTATTTCTTACAATAGCATTGGTTTCGTGTATCGTGAGCTAGGACAATACACGAAAGCACTTTTATTTTACGAAAAAGCACTTGGAATCCAAGAAAAAACTCTTCCTCCAGATCATCCTAATTTGATTACTTTCTACAACAACATCGGTAGTGTGAATCATTACATGACAGAGTACTCGAAAGCACTTTTATTTTATGAAAAAGCACTTGGAATCCAAGAAAAAATTCTTCCTGTAAATCATCCTTCGTTGGTTAGTTCTTACAATGACATTGGTGGTGTGTATGATAGCACGGGAGAGTACTCCAAAGCACTTTCATATCATGAAAAAGCTCTCGGAATCTGTGAAAAATCTCTTCCTGCAAATCATCCTTTATTGACTACGTTCTATAATAATCTCGGTAGATTATATTATAAGACAAAAGATTATTCGAAGGCACTTTCATTTTACGAGAAAACACGTGAAATCATTGAAAGAACTCTTCCTGCAAATCATCCTGACTTGATTACTTCCTACAACAACATTGGTAGTCTGTATTATACCACAAAAGAATATTCGAAAGCACTCTCATACTTCGAACGTGTTTTGGAAATTAAACAACGTTCATTGTCTGCTAATCATCCCAGTATAGGAGATGCAAAAGAGAATATTAGAATTATAGAAATGAAAATATTTTCTTCTAAATAAGTAAATAAATGTTTTCTTTACACAAGATAGGGTATGGGTGTCTATCTTCTCTAAACTTAAATTCAACACCCACACTCTCAAGATGGTTAATTTAATTAAAAATAAATTTGGTGATCAAAAATATTGATATCCTTTTTATGCTTCTATCATCTGAATGCACTTGATTTAAAAATATTATTGGGCTTTAATTACACAGTTTCGTTTTCATTTAGATTTAGATTTAGATGATATTTGTTGATGATATTCGAGTCTTTTATAGGTGTAGATATTCGCGTGTATCTTGAGGATGAGAGTATAGATAAAACTTGGATGTCAATGGAGAGAACGAATGGATGTACACCCTCACCTTCTTCCTCTGATTTGTATTTCTGCTCTCACTCTTACATCTTTTCTGCTTTTTCCATGGAAGAACGGATAAATCGAATATGATGAAATTACAAAAAACTTGTAACAGAAATTTTACAAAACGTGTGTGTGTTTATGACGTGATTACGACATCAGACTTGAATATTCCAAGCATTTTTGGTTATATGCAAAGTTTTTACTGCTGCAAAGACAGAAGGAAAAATCCAGTCTGATAAGTATATAATGACAGCTTATTTCTTCATTCTTCGCCAACTTCGTATTCGAACAATAATAAACTTTATTTACGACTTCGACGTTATCTGGGTGTTTGAACATCATTGCATTTATAAGATAAAAACTATTTAAAGATCTTCTGATCTCTTTCACCATGGCTTACGGATTTAAAAAGCTTCATTTGCAGGATAAAATGGAATTCGCGCGTTTTAGTACATGGACTGCTTTTAAAGTAGAAAAACGTTATTATGAACAGTGGGGTCATTATTCATCAGGATCCGGTTGTTCTGCTGTTGCCGGTACTACAGTTGTTACACAAGTTGACGAGAAGGACTTAACAAAGAGCATCAATACTTATGATCAATTTACTTTTGAACCCTATCAAGAATCTCTTTTTTACACTTTAATACAACGAGCTGGTTTCAAACTCGTTAGTTCAGATACATCGTTTAGTACTCACGTATACAATGCCGATGATAACGGTGGATACATACGTGATGAATACAAAACTCCAAAGAGTGATGTTCGTTTTTATAAGAAAGAAAGAAAAAACGATAAAAATTTTTTTTATGATGATTAAGAAAGTTTTCGTGGAATAAAATTGAACTAATAAAATAAACATTAATCAAGATCGATTCTTCACGATAAATATCAAGCAAAACGATTGCTAATGGAATAAGTTCTTTTTACACTGATATCGTCGCAAGAAAGCTAACAAATATTGATTTTGTTCGTGAGAGGTAAAATATTCATCAGGGTGGGAAAACCACTTGAATGAAATTGAAACTCTTGCCAAATTTTGAGTGTTGGAAGTGAATTCGATTCGTTTATCTGTGATCGTTAAGATATATCCACTTTGATCTCTTTTTTTCGTGTCCAGATGAGGAACTTTGTATTTATCGTTTGTTTTTTGCTAAAACCGTTCTAGATATGGTATTTCTTGATTCGTGTAGTGTCAATTTTTGTGATTACTTTAATACATGAATGGATAATGACTTGGATTTTTATTGCCTTCGTCATCGATTAAATTTGCTTCAAGGTTGGAGGATATTTCGGATCATAACTAGCATGCTCATCAGGAGACAGTGGTGTGCATATAAAAGCTTTCACTAAGTTCTTCTCTTGACACCGTTACACTTCTCAAGGAAAATAATCATGGAGAATATGACTTATCCCGAAACTTTCAGGGATTAGTAGTCCCAGTGAGATATACTTCTGGTAAAAATTTCAGCTCGATTCGTTATATCATTCAGGATTTACAGCTGATTTATATGGCATTTTTGGTCTTCAGGAAAATGAACATCACTCTGGCACGGTAAGAGACACAGGGCTCGGGTTGGTCTCAGATTAAAGCCAGTGTCAAGATGCAACTTTTCATCGGACAGAATTTTGAAATTATTTCTTATTGGTTTTTTATAGATGTTTTAGTATATATGTCTAAAAAAAACGGTGTTTTAGTTGCAGTACATCTCACTTTTCTCAGCCCAGGATTTGATTTTTAAAAAAGTGTCCGATGAAAAGTTGCGTCTCGTCGAGGTCTATCAAACAAAAAAAAAGTTTGTATATAGCTCAAAAGATGAGTGCGTGATTCCAATTTTCCTGATTGAAAACCATGTTTTGAGAAAACCATCAAAAAAGGTTTAGAAAGAAGGTTTTTCAGTGAAATTCAGGAACAAGCGAAAAAGTCATTTATTTATCGATTTAAATTTTTAAAAAAAGCTCAAATATGTAAATCCTGACCTTTTTCCGACTAGACTTGGGGTGATTTATATGATATTGATTTATCTAGTAGTGTTTCGAAACTAAAAGATCTTCAGAATCTCCTCAAAACCATGGTGGTGGAACAGGAGTATTTTGGCAATAGTTTTTCAAAACCTAAGTGTTTTACAGGAAAACTATATATATTCTGAAAGAGGAGATTCCGGCGCATCTTTCTATGTTAAAAACTCGATTTTGTTATTTTTTAAAAAAATGGTCTTTCTGAGGGAGGGGGGCTCCTTTCATGGATAGTCTGAGCATTCCAGTACAGCGTGTATAATTGGTTGGTCATGGTTAATCGATCGGGTACCATGGAATTCAACCACTAATATCAGAATTTTTATTTTTATGCAATTGAGATAGTTTTGTGCTGATATATCACACGAGTTTTTCCTTAGTATTGCTTTCGACTTAACGTTGTGCTGAGTAATTGACTTTAATAGTTTGATTACTTCTGCTTTGATTTCATGATCTTTTTGGATAAGTTTTCTCGTACTTATCTGAGCATATCGCTGTAGATATCTTAAATGGATTCGATTATATTGGATTGCGGACAAATGAAAAGATTTCTAATTAAAGCTTCTTTTAATCTTATTTTCAAACTCATCCTAACCCTCAAGCAAAACTAGTATGGTCATTATGAAAAGATTAAAAATCTCATATAATGATGATTTCACACAGATATTTATTCATTATGGCGTACTACTCTATAATAATTTAACTGAAAATGTGAATAAAAACAAATATGCTTCTTTTAGTCATCTTCACACATTAGTCGTGAATCATCATTTTCCCCATGATTACATTAGTAAAAACCGAGAGAGTGTGCATGGCTTTTTCCGCAAAAGTATATTTATTTTCTTGACCTGCGAAGATTCTCTGATAGATAAAAGAATAATATATATATGTGCTCCCAAGAAAGTTAGTAATACATCAATCTTTTCTTTAGAATTATTGTTGATCTTTGTTCAGAATTATTACACATTATTCATTCAGTTCTAGAAGAAGGTAAAATCTTTATTGTGCAAACGTTTCTGATTCAATGTTCAACCCAGGAAGCATACCACCACCAGTAAATACTCAATTATTGATGTTAAAAGTGAATATAGTTAAGAATTAAGAATATATATTTATATACTGCAGAATAATTGCTCTAACCAAAGAATACGGTAGAAACTTCTTTATGATCTGTTAAATGAAATTCGAGACAAATACATTCTGTATTCAAAACACTAACATACTTTTTTTCGAAGCCACAAACCCCATCCAAGCCAAAAAATGCAAATGTATGTATGTGTCACACTTATCCTGGTATAATTCATATGGTAGCCTGTTGTGCTGGTGATTATACTAATAAGGGAGCCGAAATGCGAAAACGAATGAAAATAAGCTATAGACATTTTTCATGACTATTTTTCAATATCCACGATTGTCACGAATAATATTTAAAGAAAACTATAAAGAATATAAAATAACTAAGAAAACATATTTGTTTGTGAGAATTAATCAATAGGCTTTTCATGATTGATGTTTATCATACGGAATGTTCGAAAACCACAACTACTCTTTTCCAAAGTTTTTTTTAGTGAATTGTTAGCATCGAGAAGTTTTACTCACTTTTAAGATATTGTCACTGATGGAATTGTATGAGTTTAAAAAACCCTATTTATATTTGAGAAACAAATATCACGGATATGGATGATATCGACTATTTTTCATTTCCATTCAATCTTTTATATTAATATCCAATTTACACTTTCAACTGATTTAAGAATCATTTCTACTAATCTCTGTTTATACCAATAACTGGAAGACGCATAATCATAAATTTAATCAGTCAAAAATAAGTTGTCATCGATTTTATTAGACATTTCTAATAGAACTGATTTGATTACAATAAAATGATTGATTACATTGAGAACAAGTAACTGTTCTCAACACTGAGTAGCTTTACCCGCGACTGCACGATAAAAAATATGTTCTGAACATTTCATTTCGAGAGCTTCTATGTTTCAATGAACGTTTAAAATAAAAATCTCATTAGGAAAAATCGTTGGATTAATCCGCTACGTCCAGTTTATCACTAAAGTTCTTTTTCATTTACAATTCGTGTTCATCGAAAATCTTTGAAATATCAAGGTTCTCATTTAATACACTCATAAGAGGTTTCACAGTCTGACGGTTAATATCGTTCGTTGGCCTCTCTTCACTCGTTCACTGACGGGTAGCCGTTAGAATCCATAATTTCTTCTCCACTCTATTCAATACATTTGATTCCATTTCTAATTCACGTCAGAGGAGCAAGTGCATGATTTGTGCACTTAATCTTTGAAAATTCACACGAAGACTGCACTCCTAGCCATAAGTTCTCGTATCGGACGTTCGCTTATTTCTGTTACCATCAACCACCTTCTCGGATCATCTCTTTTCATAAGACTTTTATTTCAGTCGAGGGCATTAAACAAATGTTTATATATTTTTTCGAACGTATCTTTCTAAAAGGCACTTATCTTATGTGATAGTTAACACAAATATGAAGTTTAAAGAAAAAAGAAAATTTGAAAGAATCAGTGGTAGTTGAAGTTGATTTTAAACGATAAGACCATTTTGTTCTAATTGCTTGATCATTTGACCCAATTCATAACAGTTATAAAAATTAATTATAGACGCCAATCCCGTTCCTAAGCTTGCTGCAGTCATACTAGTCATTAATACAGAACTTCCTGTAAAATAAGCAATTGGAGCCAAAGCTATCGCACCAACAGCTTTATAAACTCCTGAATAGAGTTGTTGTTCCTTTAATGCTATAATTTGATCACGAATTTCCTTTGTTCGTTTCGTGATGTGTTCGATGTGTTTTTCTAATGTTGCAAAATCAGATGGATCCATTTTCAATAAATTCTCATATTCTTGTTTAACACGATTTACTGAATTTCTATCAGAAATCGATTGTTTCAGAGCTATAATCGATAAAGCAACGCCCAAAGCAGATATAGCATAGGGATGTTTTTCAATTATGTGTAGGCCAGCTTTTAAATCAATTGCTGTTATCTTATCCATATTGAAAAGGATACTGTAAATAGAGAAAGTTGTGAAAATGACCTTGGGCGTAGATCATTTGTTGTTTTCTTCAGAGCATCCTTGTCCATTTTGAAAACATGTGCTCGAAACAGTGCTGACCATTTGAGTTAAGAAAAAAATGCAACATATATAGACGATGCTAATTCAATTCAATCCAATCACAGTAATAATTTGCATTTACTTACTAAAAATAGTTCAGTTATTTTCACAATTATATTTCACGCAATAACTATTGTTTTTGATGCTTCTAGAAAATAATGAATGTACAGGTTTTTCGATAAAATTTATATATTTGTTTTTTGTTGGAAATTTCAAACTATAAAACATTTTTTACCTTTCCTATTTCATTATGCGTCGTCATATAGACATATTTATTTGTTACCTGCCTAGTGTCACATGGTTTTTTTTTTCATTCCTCGTATTTTTATACTATAAGAGCGATTAAAATGCTCTTCGTTCTCTTATTTTTCAACAAATACAATTCTTACCAATAATCTCTCTCTCATATGCTATATAAAGCGGGAATCAAAAGCTTAACGGACTTTTTACTCCTTTGGTACTAATGTAGCAGGTCCTTTAACAACAACATCCAAATAGTGTTTTTCATAGTTCCAGAGAGAAGGTACAACATTTCAATAATTAGGTTTCAAAAAAGCAAATTGTCCATCATATAGAGAGATAATGATTTTTTTCTATGTGGTCAAAAGTTTAAAGCATTACGTCATTTTTTTGATTGTTTTATCCATTTTTTACTCTTTTTCAATAATATGACTCACTAAATGTAACGGAATCTACTTCTGAAAGATGAATATAAATCAAGAGACATTAAATAGTTCAAAGCGTTCGGACAACACCGAGACGTGATGATTTATTGTTTAATAATAATGAAAAATAATAACAAAATTCACAAATAAATGTAATTTGAGATTGAGCAAGTCCAGACTCTTATTCCGTTTTCAGAGTCAACTATAACAACTATAACTAACTTCTATATCAAGATATGTCTAGTACACTGTATATTCGTATACAGTTGTAAACGACTAACGTAGAAGTCTAGACACAACTAACTCTTATTAATATCCATCTACAACTAACTTCTTCTAGATGATATTCGAGAGACCTTTAATAAGAGAACGAAGGCGAGCACAAAAGAGAGGAGGAGAGAAAAGGAAATATCCAGAAAAGTGTATGGAGAGAACACACGCTTTAAGAGAGAGATAAAGAAAAAGGAAAAGAACAAGAAAAAGGAAATGATATGATAACAGATAAAATATTATTGAAATATATATATAAGGGGTATCGTACAAAAGGACGTCTGCCACTTTTACTGGCACTTATGTATATTATTAATCTTTCTGATTTTTCTCTTCATTATACATCGTTTTGCCAACGCATTGTCTCTACTACAAGGGAAAAAATTTATCTTATAGTATAATTGCATGCTGCATGACTATATTTTCATTTAAGTCTTTCGAAACATTTTTGTTTCATTCTTGCACATCTCTATATCATGTGCGAAAAAACAATTTATATACGCTTCTGCTTAATCTACCCGATTCTCAACATTTATTCACATAAACTATAAGATTAAATTTTTGCCCACATATATTATTGCGTAGTAGATGTTAAAGTCCACTTTCTATAGCGCTTCTACAAACACCAGAGTAAAATCATTTAATCATTCATATTTCCAGCACATCTGTTACTAAGAATATACATCATCCACTATATCAAAATCACGACAACCACTTCAATTCAACCCATGAACTTCTACTTCCAGCTACCAGCTTAAACTCAATTTACTTGAAGTTAACTTAAAACAGTGTATTTAGCTTAGATTTGATTGAAACTGGTATGTTTTAGCTTTTTTAAGCTAGAATTAGCTGATGTTTGATCATTTCAAAGCTATTAAGCTATCAGATGAGATCTTTAAAAGGATCGAAACGCGTCATGGCAGTTTGTCTCACTCTCAAGATATTTCCTTAATTGTGATTCTTATTCAACATTTAGGTTTAATTTTATACATATAGTTGATTCAGAACTTACCTGATGAGTCCCTTTAGCAAGGACGAAACTAGTCGTATGATATGCTTTGGATCTTTCTTCTCTTTAAACTCACCCCACCCTCACCCTCAAGGTATACATGATATCCCAGGATATGAATGGGCACAAAATTGTACACCTGAGCAATTTCAAAAAGAAGGAGGAATCGTTTATGACAATGGTGAAGATGCTTTATATAACGAATTACAAAAAACAGCACCAGATAATATTTATCATTTAATTGAAATATCATCAGCAACATCAGTAGGTGATGTTTTACAACGTTTAAAATCTGAAGTGACAAAAAATATTCGTTTATTCGCTATGGGTGGATCGATCTATCGAGATTATGAAAATTTTAGTCAACCATCAAAAGAATATAATGTTTTTGAAGATACTGTTGCCGCTCAATTCATGTTTAATTCATCTTGGGCTTATTTTGGATTAGCACCATTAGATACTACAATTTTTATGCAATTCAATGGCCTTACATGGCAACAATTTCTTTTCTATCGTAATAAAAATAAATATGTTCCATTAATTCTTGATTCATATATATAGTTTGGTATAACAATGGTGGAAAACATGCTGGAGGTCTTGAACCATTTAGTCCTGATATTGGTACAAGTACTATGTATGATGTTTTAGCAGCTATTCTAAGTTTATATTATCCAAAAACAATTACCATTGATTGTAACAAATGATGGGTATACTCAAATTAATTCTACACAAGGAGAACCCGTTCAGTCGGCAGTGATATTTTCAAACTTCAAATCCTTATAATTCAACATCAATACTTGGTGCCATTATATTGTATTCAATTATATTTTCTTAACTTATTTTTGAATAAAAGATTTCGGTGAGGATGGCGGTATGGATGCGAGTGAAGAAGATATACCGTCACCCATACCCACACTCATATCTTCACCCAGCTGCATCTTTGAAATGAACTTTAACAATAATAGTTGTGATCCCTAATAATCTCAAAAATTTTATTAGTTTCAGCAATGCGATTTCATATTTTCAAGAATAAAAGTCCGTCTTCAAAGGATTAGACTTTGTCTAGTGGTCTAGAAGTCTATTCGTGAGCAAAATATGAGATCTAACACTATTATTAAGTTAGTGGATTTTCCTCATTGGGCAAATCGTTATTTTGTCTTGTATAGACATAGGTAAGGATTAAAACTTTTTATTTATTATTAATTCTTCAAATGATTCTCTGATGAATAAAAAAAACTTTTCATTAAAATTCATTTTATTATAAGATTAGTTTCCATCTGAAACAATACAAAATTTTTGTACTCGATCATTCCAAAAATCGCTCACATAAAGATTATATTGTCGATCCAATGCTAAACCAAAAGGATTACTAAGATGTTTTGAGTGTGCTTCTTTTTCATTTGCAGCAACAGCAATCTTACCTTCTGTTGCATATGGTGACCAATACATTATTCGACGATTTCGTGCGTCAACTACATAAATATTACCGAAATGATCGACAGTCATTCCAACAGGAGATGATAATTCTGCAAGATCGTTCTCTTTATCGTATCGACCAGCAACAACAATACCTTCTGCTGCACTTTTCATCCATTTCATCACACGATTATTGCGTGTGTCGGATACATAGATTGAATAGTTTTGATCGACGAAGATAGTATTAGGAGAATTAAGTTGATTCAGATCAACTCCTTGTCCATTTTTACCTGCTACAATTGTTCCATTTATCTCTCCTTTTTTCCATCGTCTTACTGTATGGTATTTATCATCAGACACATAAAGATCTCCGTTATTATCTATTGCCAAACCGGTACAACTAATATCGTCAATAATTGTTTGTCCAACTGCACCATTTTCACGAGGCCATCGGACTATTCGTTTGTTTCCGTAATCACAAATGACAAGAGAATCATCATTCTTGTCAATAATCACAACTTTTGGTCCATTCAACTGATCAATTTGATTTCCTTTTCTGTTTCCACCAGCAACAACTTTACCATACGTTGCATTATACTCCCATTTAATAATACGATCGTTGCCAGTGTCAGCAATATAAACTGTTTGATCATCTGTATCAACACAAATTCCCGAAGGTGCACTAAGTTGATTTGATCCGTTTCCTTTTCCATTACCTCCAGCAATAATACTTCCATGTTGGTTCCATATTTTATTAAGAGGAATATCAGTCGACGAATGATTCTGTTCTGCAATGTAAGAAAAGACTTTTGTTAAGATACAAAAAAAATCAAAACAGAAGAACGAAAGTAGCATCTTGGGGATGTGGATCACGGATGAGAATACTGGCACCCGTCCATCTCAATAAACTTTTAATATCTTCATATATAACTATGACTTATTACTTAGCTTTATAGAAGCCACACTATGTTTTTGCTATCTATTTGATAATTCGAATTCAATATAAGATATACCTTTATGACGTGTATGTTTTTAATCATTTTTCTGATCATATAAGTTATTTGTGAAACAAAATGACTGGCTTCTCTTTATTTCTCTTTGAATAGAACTGTACCTGATATTTCTGTCGTTGTTATTGTATTGATTTGGTTTCTTGTATGAATAATTGTAGAGATCACAAACCCTATCATGATCGAAACAGTGATAATAACAGCATACCTAATCCATGTGAATTTTCTTGTGCTCCTGTGTGAACTCCTAGAACAATCGATGATTTTTTATCATACATTATAATTCAGAAAATATATATACGATGTTTTTGATTGCGTTGTTACCGTTTGAGGAATGTCAGTGTCAATTGATTGAAGCTGAAATAGTCAAATAAAGTTTATACTGTGTTTTTTTTTCCACAAAACACGATAGTCACTTTTGCATTGTTATTGTTGTTTATGGGCAATAATTTGTCTGAACTTGTCATTGTTTTAACAATCAAAAACCTATAATAATACAAAAGAAATATCATAAGGCAAAAAAATTTAATTTCACATAATTTGACAGTCACTGTATATTTAAATTGTATGAAAAAGTGAAACTTTTCAAAATAAATCTCGAATGCAAACATTGACATTGTACTAGAATATTCTTAGCATGATGGTAATCTTATTGAATAAATGAATGGAACACTGATTTTAAAAGATCAAAACTTTTGTATACATATTATTAAATTGTATAATCTCGCAATGTTGTTTTTCTGCATTTAGAATAAAGTATCTGCAAAATCTAGCCTTTTTATTATACTTTAATGTGACGATTTTTGAAGGAGGAGATATATGGGCTGATGGAACGACGCTTTTATTTATTACTTCAAATCATGAATCTCATCTTTTACATAAATTAACACGCACGTACATATGTGCAACCAAAAGAAAGAGAAGAACCAAGAAAAATGATTAGAACGATGACATCACAGATAGCGTTACAATAATAAAAAGCTAAAAGGATGATAGTTATTGCTAGGATTTGATCAAACTACTTCATTCTTAATAAGTCTATTTTATAAAAGTAGATCTTCAGAAAAACGATACCTTCGAATTCGAATCTGGAAATTTGCGAATGTGAAGATCTCAACTAAAGTAACGTGTATTAAAAAAATGCCTGATATATACGGACTATATCTGTTAAAAACAAGTTGCATATTGAGGATTTCGTATTTTGAAATGATTTTGATAAAAACTATTAATATTCGATACAGAAGCTAATCTGGTTGAGTTTCTTATATACGCAAAATTTTAGATTAAAAATAGGATTTTTTCCGAAGCTCTCAGTTCTATACAAAATATACGTATTGAAAATTTAATGTTCTGTTCGAGCGTGAAGTAGCGTACTGTAGATTCGAATAAAAAGAGTATAGTGATTTTGTATCTTTACGATAATTTTGTGCTAATGGCTTCATTATTACAGCTGATACATATTTCAATATGGAAAGAATGGTTTTTTGATAGTTTAACTTCGAACATCACTTCATTATTATTCTATGTTGTCTTTAATAGAATGCAATTAAACATTAAGGCAACAGCTGTCGGATAATTGATATGTATATGTAGACCCGTAGTGATAGTTGCGGTGAAACTACTTACCACTTCAACACAAAATTTTGAAAAACCTATTGAAAACTATATGAAGAGGAAACTGAAGGTGATTATGGGCAATGAGACGATATCTAAACCTAAACCTGAGCGGATATGGTTTTAGCAGATTATGGTACAGACAATATAGACATATTAGTTAAGATGTGTGTTTAATCGTTTGTTTCTACTTATAACTACTACCATGATCAATAAATTTTATTCATTGCTTTTGTTTTTTTATTTCGATTTAACTGAGAAGTGTCAGCGAAACAAAATGAGACCCACATATTCACTCTCAAGATTTACTAGATTATTTTCTATGTTAATTTTAACCAAAATTCTGTTCATATTTTTGAATTTATTAATTATGTGAATCAGTAACGTAGAGATTTTCATCATTATCAAATGCTAATTCATCATCTGAATAATATAATTGATAAGATTCATTTTCTTGATCACAATTATTAGTAATAATTCAATCTTCTGTTCCACTGTTATATCATCTACTTGATTATTTTCCCAACAGAATTCTAAATATATGATAATATTTCTTTATCTAAATTCTAACAATCAATCACCCAGGTCGAAGCGGGTACATCGGATCTTGTCGGGAGGGTATCAAATCCGATGCAATACGGACAATCGGATTCGGTCGGCTAATCGTTGTCGGATTCCGATATAATCCGTTATTTTCCTTTGCAATCCACCAGTCGAATTCACCAAGATCCGACCAGATTCGATTTCAGGATCCGATCATCTCTAGATTAATTCGGGGTAATCCGACGTGCGGAAATAGTCAGAATTTGTCGGGTCACATGACACAGGATCTCATAATCAATCCGATCAATGACTGCGACAGAAACGTGTCGGATCCTATAAGGATGTAGATATTCCACTAATCGGATTTTCTTTTTATTATATGAAATGGATCCGACCGGAGCCAGCTGCTGGTGCACGTCGGAAATAATCAGAAACCTGTGAGGATAAATAATTGAACTGATTAGCATACTGTCGATGAAATTAAATGTTCTAAAATGATTAATATTTTATTCCGATAGATTTCATGGAACAAAATTAAATCTAATGACTGACACATTGATGTCTCAATTAAGTATGTTAACAATAACCAAATTGAAGTAACTGTACAAATACTAGATGCTCATCGAAATAAATATCTATTCAACAACTTTAATCCGACAAAAACCTTATTAAAATGTATTCGACCATAAAGTAATGATAAAGAATAAGCAAAATGATTTCCTGATATAATAATCTTCCATAATTTGTGATATTCAAACAAAGTTTCTGTTACTTTATGTAAGTAAAGATCACTCTATACTCTCTTAATGAATCAACTATCATCACAATTACAGATTAATAAGACGTAGGATATCTTAAACTAGGATTCGAGTTTTTCTTGAATGGATTCGCCTGAAGCTTAGATCAAGTTAGACCAACGTTAGACCAAGATGCAGCTCGCGGAGCTCTATCGAATGGTGTGTTTATTTTTACCAAAAGGCCTTTCCTTCTAGTAAAAAACCTCGAAAAACTAGTAAAAAATTGGTAAAAAAAGGTAAAAATTCAGGAAAACCTGTAGGGATTCGCCTATAGGTTGGACCAAGCGATGAAACTTTCAGGATCGATAGATCTCGACGAGCTCTATCGAATGAACACCTTTTTGGTTCAATTCGAATAAGTTTTAGTAGTAAAAATCCTCAAGTACACCTGTTTTACTAGTAAATCTTACTAAAACCTGTAGGGATTCGCTCATAGGTTAGACCAAACGCTGAAACTTTACACAGTGATAAAGCTCGACTTGCTCTATCGATTGAATACCTTGGACACTATCTTTGAACATCCCATAGTGGTACAAACCAATAAATAGTAGTTTATTACTAATGAATTTACTATATCTAAAAATATTGATCTACAGGTTAGATCAACGTTAGACCAAGATAGAACTCAATAAGATCTATCGATTGATTACTGTGAATGTTATGTTCAAGTAACTAAAGATAGTAAAATTTACTAATTACTGAAGTTATCCCTGGTTCAGTTTTTAAAAGTCTTTTTTAATGTAAGAAAAGATGATAATTAACTAGACGGAGATTAGACCGTGATACAATTCGATAAGTTCTTTTGAGACAATGTCTTTTCGGTATCATCCGTATATATATTGTCTTGAAAATGAGTCACAGCCCTTATGCTGAATGAATACTGTATACGATTAGTGAAAAAGCACTCTTTACAGTAATATTCTGTGTGCTAAAAACTATTTTTGTTGTCTCATAATGTTTTTTCTTTCTAATGTATTGACGTCAATCCGATTGTCTTTCGGTATCGATTTGATTTGGAAAAGTAGATATACGTTTGTTTCATAAATCGTTTGGCACAAATGACATCACACACTTATGATGTGTATATTTGGAGATAAAGGCATGTGATTTGATAGTATCGGAAGATTTCTTATCAATAGACTTTTCTGATGTATCAAATGTGTGAACAGACAAGTGATGATAAAGATGAACATCTTGTTTATGAGTGACACATGAATAATTTTTCTTTGACATAGCATTTCTTATTTTCATTGGTCATTTTATCTTTCAAAGAAACGATGCATCTTTCTCTCTTCTTTTATATACTCTGATATATACGTATTAAACAGAAAGAGAAGAAGAAAGAGAAAAAGAATTAAAATTTGATATACATAAACACAATATTTTATTCGTATTCGTTAAGCTGTAACACTAATTATTAGCAAATGACTGAGTCAAATTTAAATATGAAAGGTAAGAATATTTGGTCCAGAATTACTTTAGATCAATTTGTGGCTGCCGTTGCTTCTCTGGGAGATCGTACAAATAATCTAGCAGATGAATCATGGCGTTTAAATGACGAAACCGAGTTATCGGATTCTCTTTGGGGACAAGTTATTGATAGTTTGAAGCTGGATCACAGTGAATCAACACGTCAGGCATTTTATAAAATTTGGCGATTTAATCGTAACGGAGTTTCAACATTGGTAGAACAACAGAAGAAAAATATCAATCTAAGTCAAAATATTGATTATAACGATTATATTTCTGATCTAAATCAAATCAATTCGATTATAGCTCCAAATTTATCACTTCCATTACCTCAACCACCGAAAACACGTGCTCAGGAAAAAACTGAAAATGTTGATATAAATAATGATCAAAATTATTTTGTTGGGCAAATTTCAATTGTTTTCTCCGTAACTGAATGGAAAAATGTATTTAGTCGTACTAATCAAAAGATGAAAGATGATTGGACTAAAACATTCCGTGAGAAATTAACATTCGATGGAACAGGAATAACTTGCTCTTTAAAATTTATATCAGATCCATATTTTAAAGAAGGAAAAAGAAAGAGAAACTGTCGTGATTTTTCTTGTACTTCTAAATGTACTATTAAAGGATGCACGAGAAAATATATAATAGTATGTCCAAAGTTTCCAGACGAGAATTCATCTATCCTTTTCCTTGTTCAAATATATGGAAAAGAAGATCATACTAATGGTCCTGGTAGTGCACAACTTAAAGGCAAAGAACGCTTAGAAATTGGTAAGAATTATCTGCTGTTCATTTTCTGAATTTTTAAGAATATAAAGTATTTCTTTTTTTTAGGAGAAAGAGCAAATAACATCGGTCCATTAGCTGTGTACCGTGAACAAGTAGAAAGTGCCGATGAGCGATTACTCGCAGCAGGCAACTTCACAGGCTGTTTTACATATGAAACAATAAAGAAATCGGCATCAGACTATCGAAAAATTATGCATATTGTTGAAAGTATTTATGAAGAGTGTCGTATTACTCAATACAGTTTTGAAACAACAGATACAACGTCAAAAGATTGTAAAGGTGAATATTTTCTATATAATAATCTTTGGTAATTTATTTTGTGTATTTAAAAGGATATGTCCATTATATGACTGAAAAACCATTCACTCTTCATTTGTATTGTGAACAGCAGATTCGACGATATATAAAGTATTGTACTAAAGAACATTATTCATATATTCATATAGATGCAACTGGTGGTGTGATAAAAAAATTAGTTCGGCAAAAACAAGTGTTACTTTATGCATTGATGTTTAAAGATGGCGATGATTTCAACGATACTATTCCAGTGGCGCATGCAATGTTAGCTGACAGCAGAGTTCCAAGCATCAGTAGTTTTCTTAGGAATTTGCGTTATAGCATTAATCAAATTAGAGGTACAGATGTTCTGCCATCTTTTTATATTATTGATTTTTCTGCTGCTTTAATGAATGCTATCTTTGAAGTATTTAATGTCGAAACTGTTAATACTCATTTAAATCGATGTTGGAACGTTATAAATGGTCGATACACGGCTGAAGAATTACAATCAGCATCATTTGTTCATTTTTGCTGTTGTCATGCCATCCATGCCTTTGCGAGAAATTTAACAAGTGCACACATTAATAAGAAAATTCGACGAGGCGTTTTACTCATCTTCGTTTTTCTCTTATGCAGCAATGATATAAAACAATTATATGATATATTCGGCTCATTAGTGGATATATTCGGTGATCCAAATGAACAGAACGCAAAACAAAAATTTGATCAATTAGTTTCATTTCAATTTGACATTGATGAAGAAAGCATGGCTGAACTAACTGACACAGAAAAAATATTTGAAGCTGCAAAGGAAAGAAAAGATGAATTAATTGTTGTCGATGAATATTTACGTAGTAGCGGTCCTATTATCCATTATTCGCCTTTCAATCGAGAAGCTATTAGATTATATCCAACTCTTACTGTATTAATTAACAAAAAATTATCAAAATTTAAATCTACTAATCCACTTTATTCTCCATCTTTGATACGTATCTTCTATCGATGGTGGGCATATTTACCATTTTGGACTGGTTTATTATTTAACTTTAAAGAACGTTATGCAAACGACGTTAAAAAAACTACGTCTAGCAGATTTAATCCGGTGCGACATTCCAATGCTCTAATAGAAAGTTATTTTCGAACACTGAAAAAGAGCATTTTTCAAAATCAAGTGTATAGCCGTCCTTATCTAGCTATTAATGATTTACGTCGATGTATTAATATTCAATTCAAAGCTAATGAATATAATGTCACAGTAAGCTCAAAAGGAAGAAAACGAAAGAAAAGAGAAGTTAGTATAGCAGAACAATGGGATAGGAAAGGAAAAGGTGGCAAACGTCGCACTGCTTATTTGGAGCATGTTGATAAATACGCAGCGAAACGCGTCCCAATAAAAACAAAAGATGATGAACCAGTTAAAGTTATCAAGAAGATAAGGTACATTACTTGTATTTTTAAATTCCGATTGTATGAATGTGCTTTGTGTTTTTAGTGAATCAGAAGATACATCAACAGGTTCGTCGTATAATCAATCGTCATCTTCTTCCACTAAAAAGGATGATAACAATGTTGCGTCAAGGTAATGAGAAAACAATTGTCAATATAAAAAAAAACTATTATAAATTTTTAGTTCTTCTTCATCGAGAAGTAACAAATCTATACCAGCATCATCATCATCGTCACTTAAAGCAAATTCATCTGTAAGTAATGATATTCCTGTTGATATTCCAATTGATTTAGACATGCCAATGGGGAAGAAAAACCGACAAAATAATATTTCATTTGAATATGAATGTGAAAATCACAGCAACTCTTCCATCACAAGTACAACATATCCTGTTGCGATTCGTATGTATCGGTACAAATATTTTCCATCAAACAATATCTTTATGTCTATATAGCATCGAGTATAACAACTGATCATGGCTTGTCAAAAACATCATCTATTCAAGACACATTTCAACCCGAAGCTGATATATTCGGTATGAAATTAAGATGGCCTAAGTTTGAAATAAAGAATGTTCCATTCGAAGGTAATCATCACAAGGGTTAATTGACATACATATACAACATTTCTTTTCTTCAGGCCGCCCATACACACTTACACTCACATGTCCGATAGATACAGCACTGTTTGCCTTATATTTTATGTATCAAGTAGACATCAATATGCGTGACGAAACAGACAATACACTTCCAAGCTCACCATATTCAACTCTGCTTAGCACGTTTCGTATTGTGGAAAAAGAAGGATGGGACGCAGCTCGTATTAGTTGGTTATTGAAGTTTAATCTCTTGAAAACATCTGATAGAACAAAATCCCTATTTGGTTCAGTTGACGAACTAGTTTTTTGTTTTCTCAAAAATTCACAACGTCATTCCACTACAATTACATGTACTAATCCTGATTGCACAAAAAGAAAACGCGTTATTTCATCAACAGAGATCGGACTATTGTAAGTTTGTATTAGATAATATTCCAAATCTTATTTTATTACCAACATTTACAGTCCTTGTGATGATCATATCGAAAATTTTGAAGTTGAAACTATGGGCGTGTGCGGGGCAATGATCAAACGATATGATGAAATGAGTGAAACAGAAGCAACTGAACGAAAATATAGAGATGGTCGAGTGCCATTTGTTGATAGCGAAACAGACGAGAAAGAATATATGTGAGTTACTTTCTTTCATCTTCTTTTATCTATAACCTATCATTTTCATTTCATAGACGTGCATGGATATGTAATCATACAACGATATCTTCTGTATCTCAATTTGAAAATGAATATCCACTAGTTCTTATTGTTAATCTTAAACCTTTTTCGAAACGTAGTGATGAAGGTTATGAACCAAATCCAGTACGATTACGTGATATGAGAAAAAGTATAAAAATCAATTCAATCAGGTAATTTCTTCCATTTTCTTGTTTCTTTTAAATGCTGGTTATTTTCTTCTAGATATCAACTTCGTGCAACAATACATTGTAACAACTTTGTTAGTTTGGATATGTAGTTGGAGAACTTACAACTTTGATTTTATTGGGGCTTATAAGTTGCTACGAGTTCATCGATGTTTATTTGAATAAAGGAAGAGAGGATCACACATAAAAACAGAGATATAACACCATATAATAATATGAGAAGGAAATAGGTTCAGTCCGGGATACAATTAACTTGTAAAATGTGTTCAGGATTCAGGTAAAGAGGGTGATATTGGAAGAAATATCTCTGGATATGTATGTTAAATTGTTGACTTGCTCCAACTTCACTTACGAGGGAACATACCCAGGTGTCCAAGAGTTTTAGACCCCATCTTTTGGCGATAGATAGACCCCAATGAGGTATGAAAAACCCCAAAAGGATTCGTGCCCTCGCGCCTTTATTCCCG